TCTCATAAGTTTTTAATCTCCTGTCATATGTACAGTTTTAACTTACCAAAAAATTGTTTGGTTATAGTTCTGTAATATTCTATAACAATGGTATAGATAGCTTAATTAGAAATTAATAGGCAGTCAGGGAGCTGGAGGGAGCTAGCCTGTGAGGAAGTAAGTGCAAAAGATGAACCACACCAAAACTGTGGCTGCCTGGGGATTTAAAGAAAGCCAGGAATGTGAGCCTCCCCAGGGATCAGCAGGAGCTTGACACTACACAGTGAATAGCGCCGTCTGATCCAATGAGCCTAGACAGTGAATCAGACACCTGAATGGTGACTTAAACACCCTGACCCGTACTCCATCCTTTTCCAGAAATACCTTTTTTCTTCTTATGTTAAAAGATACAAATAAGCCGAAGTTAATGACCCTGACCCTCCACCCTTGCTCTGCGCTGCTGTTTCCTATTGGACCAATGTTGGCTAAGCAACTGTACTTGCGATCCTGTGGATTCACTGTAGTGTGACCCATAGTTATCCAAGTCATGATTTTGTTGTATTAAATGCCCTTGACAAAGAACCTCAGCAGCCACACACTCAAGAAGCCCCCTGGGAACCCAAAAGTAATTCTCCTTATTTTGAATAAAATTCTCCTAAAGTTTGGTTTGAGACTTCATTCTTCAATGCTGTGAGACCACAATCTCAGTACACATGGTAACAATAAGTAGTATTATGTGGACATTATGTTCTGAACTATAAAGGCATTACATTCCTTTATTTAAATAAACATGTGAAAGTACAAATAATTAATAACAAAAGGCTGTGTAGTGCAGATGTAATATTTAGAGGATGCTAAAGTAGATGATTGTCTCAGAGACAATAGTGTGAGTGTTGGATTGCAAGCCAAATTACCTGCATTTATTTTTCATAGAATGTCAGTTTAACTTGGAAGAATGGTTGATAGACAATCTATGATGAAACAGATGGATATAGCTGTCTGAAAGTTTCCTGAAAATGAACTCAGTGATCATGTCACTTCAGGAATAATAGGGAAATCATTTTTTTTTTACCAAAATAAGATTTAAGTTTGTAAGTGAACATTTACATTTTAGAAAAATAGTGTGTCAACTTGAGCTATAATTGCCCATTTCAAAGATTTACTAATGACAATTTCAGTGTGATAGTGAAAAATTTATTTGCTTTAGTATAAGGAAGTAAGTCAACATTTAGAAGATCTGTATCTTAATAAATCAATATTTTCAAGTGGTTATTTTAATTTAACAGAAAATTTTAAAACTGATTATGATTTTGAGTTAAATATGAAACAGTTAACCTATACAAACCAAACTTGCAGTTTCATGAAAATTGGAGAACAAAGTTATAAAGAAAAAGGAGGAAGTTAAGAGAGTTTTTATTAGAAAAAGTCTGGATTCTCTAGGAGGTGAATCCAAAATTCCTGCATGATTCCTTGCTCCAGAGCTTTTTATGGATACCCAAAGCACAGGAATTTCTCAACTATTTAGTTGTCTTTGAATTTAAAACAATCAAGTGTAGCTGACCCTCTGTATAATTTTATTGTATAAAGCAAAACTTTTTAAGGTATACAAAATTAGAAACTATATATAAAAATTGTAGATTTCAATTAATAGCTTGGTGTATTTCTGAAATAAAAGTCACACAATATATTTTGGTTTTGGGAGTTTTTCTGCTGTAACATCATGTTTGATGCATATATGTGCTTCCAGAATGTGAATTTTGAACACATAATATTTCATTTTTATATCTATTATGTTATGTAATAACTCAGCTTGTACAGCTACATCTCTTTTACATTTTTCCCTTCTGTTGTACATGATACTTATATAATTATAAAACTTTTACATGTTCCTTAAATTAAGTAATTTGGAAGAATTATTTTAAGCACAATGACTGAAAGAATTTGAAAAGCAATTCCAAGTTTCCCTTAAGAGAAAGGGACAGCATGTAAAAAAATATGAGAAACAAAGCTTTGTAAATGGGGGGGATGGACTGAATGGAGGAGAGGGGGTTGAGAAAAATAAAGAAATCATATTTTATCATGTACAGGTACAAATTCCCTGTGATGAATATGATTATCATGTATATCTAAAATGTACCAATAAATTTAATTATATAAAAAATTGAAAAAAGGAAAAAGTAAATATGAGAAACTGTTTTTTTTTTACAAAAACACATTTAAAAGCTAAAGTTTATTTTTAACATTTTCTTCACATACAAAATAGGTATTGATGCAAATAATTTACACCCTACTACCACATTAACCATATGTTCCTGAGGAACATGAGGGAATGATCAGAAGACAAAACTTGCAATGCCCAGCACAAAAGAACTAACTGTATCTAGATGAATTAAACTTAATAATTAACTGAACTATAGGTATAAAGCATAATTGCCATATATACTACATCTTAGGAACATCAATCATAGGGAAGAAAGGGAGAAAAATATTCACTGGATGTTTTTTTTTTCATTCATAAAAGTTATACATTTCCATTAACTCACTCCTTCACCCTGGAGTGTAACATATACACAGATTAATAACGGTTCCCAGAAAGACAGCAAAACGAAAGTCTATAAACTGAGGTGAGGGATACCTGTGCTACCATAAGGCCAGAGGCAATCAAGTTGTACCTGATCCACAAAGAACTAACTGGAGAGCTGGAACGAGATGGAAGAAGCAGAGTGGATCTGAAATCCTGTATCTGAGGTGACTGATACATTTTACTCCCTCTAGCAGGAGAACTTCTCATCTCCTCCATTTCATTATGTAAAACACAGCACTGCATTTTTATGAGACTACAAGACCTTCACTTGCTTTACAAGAGTGAAAGCAAAAGTTCAATGAGCCGGGACATTTTCTTTAAGCAGCAGCTAAAAGATGTTAGGCAAGCTGCAAGCCTCATCACTGCAGGTGGTCACAGGTATCAATTAGTGTATCTTCCTCCTCCTTGTCTACAGGTTCTAGATCAGCCTCTGGCTTGGTCATCAGTTTCATCTAGGTTACTTTCTATCAGGGATATTCAGACTTTTAACCCTCCATAGAACAAAATTCTTCATTACCCTAAATCTAAATGTGCATATTTTCATTGTTCTTTGGGGCACTCACAGGTCGTATATCATTTGAAGTCTCGGGATTATAACACATAAGACAAATCCCAAATTTGAGTCTCATATTTCTTTTTCAGGGTACCCAGATTTTGAAATAAAAGCTTTGTTAAGACTTCTATGCACCATGTGGCTCATTTTCCTCCTTGCACCAACTTTACTAAGCACAGATGAAAACAGCTGTGGTATGGTACTGGGCACCACATTTTATCACCACACATTTACATTCTTCTGTAACATAATTATTTCTTTTTGGCTTCTAACCACTCAGGTGCAGACTTTCATCTGTAGGATCAAGTTTCTAGGGCTTCGTGCCGTGAAGAGCAGTCAATGATTAGGGGGTTTTTGTAGGACTCCTGTGCTGTTATTTAACTGGGGTGGAGAATTTCAGAAAAGAGTCATAATTAAACATGGAGCTTGGTCTCAAAGAAGCTGCATGAAGTATCCCTCAGGCTTCTCAATTGGAGAGAAGAAAGGGAAAAATTAGTTCTCTGGCTCCCATTTCTCATCCAAAATTTTATCCCACACAGAATTAAGATCACTGTATTTCCGTGACTTCAAGTTGAAAATGAAAGGTCACATACCAGGTTCATAAAGTGATATCAAAAGTAAAATTTGATTGAGGCCATAAAGTGAACAGAATCAGATACACGAGCTGAACTATCTCACAGTTTCTGTTATGTGAGAAACCCAAAGCCTAGGAATTAAAAAGCAAAACAAAGGAAAGTTAATAGGAAACAAAGAGATAGGTCTTTTGCAAAAAGGTTGGGACCAAGAAGTGGAAGAAGAGGGGATGGAGAGGAAGGGAAGGGGGTGAAAAAAATTAAGATATGTTATGCGATGTACCACTGCCCACACGGAATATAATTTTTTGTATTGCAAACATGCAACAATAAAAATATAGTATTTTTAAAAGTTAACTTTGGAACAAGGAGCAAATGGAAATGAAACATGATGAACAGTCCAGGTGGACCTGGAGAAGTAGGTTGTAATTCACTCAGAACTGCTTCCCCCGTGGGCACCCTGAAAAACAGACAGATGAAGAAAAGATGTTTAGAGATAGTATAAAGGAGGCATCCCATACAGTGGTTTTAGGTGGCAGAGATTTATATTGTGGAATTAAGTACTGAGTTTGGGCTACACAATAAAGAATATTATTTGTATTTGCTTTACAAAAAAAATGTAACTTTTATACCAAGGCATTCTCCCTTTGGAATGGAGGGGGTATGACATTTGTATAAATGTCTCATTGAAAAAGCCCGTGTAAGATACATATACCCCGAATACTTGTGCAGGCGGTTCTGGCTCACCTGCCACCTATAGAGAGATTTAAGCATAAAGGATTCAAATGAGAGAACCTCAAGTAGGGTCTGAGAAGGTAATAAAAAGCTTGGGACTCTCAATCAAAACACGGTTGCACAGATGATTTCATTGAAGAATACCAGTAGCTCCTACAACCATAAGAATGAGTTCTATGAAGACAGGAAGTGAAGTCTGAATGAAAGAACAACAGTAGATAGACACAGAAAAACTATGTCAAAAATGTATCATTGTGCTATATTCTCAAGTACCGTGTCTTGGTTACTTTTCTCTCATTGCTGAGACAAAATACCCAACACCCAAAATGAAGGAAGGAAAGGTTTATTTAGCTTACAGTTTGTGGAGGTTTCAGTCCATAGTTGGCTGGCTCCAAGGTAGAAGATAGCAAAGCAACAAGAGCAAAAGGGGGAATGGCAGCTGAACAGCAAAGCAGCCAAGGCAAAAGGGAGGAATGGCGGCAAGCAGCTTCTTTCCCTCCCTTACATTGTAAACAGGCTACCTCCACCTGAGGGGCATAGAGTTTTCACATAATCTCCATGCCCTCCTCTTCCACAGGCTCAGGATGTATACAAAGTAAGCACCCTGGCTTCCTGCTGAGTCCCTTAGCCAAACCTCTAGACTCCCCAAGTTGACACAATGTATCAACCATAACATACCTTACGTTAAAAAGAGCAAAAAAGTCTAGCCAAATGAAAATATGAATTTTTTTCTATGTAAATGATTAAAATGATATGAAAAGTTAAACTCTTCCACATTTAGGGGAGTAAAAGGAAAAATTTGGCAGACATAGTGGGACTCAATGTGCTCGTAATTAATCACCGTGAAACAATGCAGAGTAAAATAAGGAAAGAAGATGCTATTTTTGAGTTGTATTTTTATGTTAATATTTTATACATTCTTCCCATACTTTGCATGCTTTCTAACATTATTAGATTATTTGTACAGTATAACTTCACTGTTCTTTAACAAAAGGTAAAAGCAAGAAACAATTTTAAACAAATATGGATAAATTGAGATAAAAATGTTTCCAGAAAGTTCTTTGTGTTGGCAAACTGGGCAGCAGAGAAGGCACACACAAGTTTCAAATTTTCACCACCCATACCCCATAGCATTATGCAAACCACGCCTAGTTGGTTTGTGCATAAAATTTTAAAAAACTGTCTTCTTATTTATTAACATATATGATTAAATGTTAGAAATAATATGTTCTCTTAAACAAGTGTTTTGCCGTGGTTTGCATCTTGCCAGCAAACGGTATCAGCCAGAAGACCTTCCAGATGTCATTTGGAACTTTAGTAAGGGTTAATCAACCAAACAAAGGGTACAGTTCTGTCGGTATCATAACCATAAAACTATGTATCTTAAACTTATTTATAGCAAGAATGGAATGGGGCATTACATGTTTTTAGTCCGTTTTAAATCAAAATCTCAGTGGAAGTCGAATATATTACTTGAAGCAAGATTTTGCAAATTCAGTGTAAATCTGTGTGGTGATGTCAGAATATTACTTTTATTCATTTTACCATCATATAGGAAGACTTTTTTAGTACAAAACATTTCTAATTATACCTTTCTTCGCCATTGCCATGATGTAGTTCAGTAAAATGACACAATTTGACAGGCTCCTAGCTAATAACTCACGTATATTTCACCTAAAATGAGAATTAAACTGCCAGGATGGTGGAATAAAATGCCATATTAACACAAAGAACAAAAATATGTTAAAGGCAGAATGACATTTCACACAAGAAAGCCCTGGAGAGGAGCTGGCCAAGTCCCATGGGTGAAAGAGAGATGAAGGGTAAAAGCGTAGGTGAAAAGAATAAGTTATTGTAACAGGAGTTAAGAGACCAAGAAAACCAAGTAGGACAGAAGCACCTGGATTCACTCCTCCATGTGGCGCCACCATAACATTAAAGTGAAAGTTTGTACAGTGGTGATGATTACTGTGACTCCGGTCACTTTCTTTCTCTTTCTATGTGCCATCAGTGTTAGATTTTCTCATCACCCACTGTTACACAATTCATTCAGTCTCACATCAGACACCTGAAACTTCTTCAGTACTGCTCTGCAGTTTAATTTTCACTCTCAGCATGGTAGTGTTGGCATAGAAACTGCCTACTTTGGCCCTGCTTGACACAGTTTCATGTGTTGCTGTCCCTCCAGGTCTTTGACTGGCATCCACCCTCCCTGCTTACACCAGTGGTCCAGCGCGTGTGACTTGCTTGACGATCCTGACCTCCTTGTCACTCCCTAATCTGATGTTGATACCCACAGCCAATCACATTCACAGCAAGATGAGCAGCTGTCTGGGCTTGTGACCCAATCCATGTTTTGGTTTTGAAGAGAAATTTAATCCTTCAGGAAAGGATCTTTGTCTCCGGTGTCAGTGTGGTTTGAATGGGTGTGTGCAGGAGGTTCTGGCTCACCTGCCACCTATAGAGAGATTTAAGCATAAAGGATTCAAATGAGAGAACCTCAAGTAGGGCCTGAGAAGGTAATAAAAAGCTTGGGACTCTCAATCAAAACAAAACTCATATCCAACTGGTAAGGATGCGAAAGCTTCCTCTTGCTATTGTTAATAGTAATGTCACTCCAAGCTAATCATAGGCTACTGTTTGATGAAGAATCAGTTTAAATACATTTCTTAGGCTTTAGTTTAAATTCACATGTTAACAAGACATGATAAACTATATCAGAATTTGAAGATGGATTTCCAAATTAAATTTAACTTCCATTGGCTCTTGAGTGATCGTACTGATTAGAAATTTTTTAAATTAGCAGGTTGAGTTTATAAGGTGCTTGTTATTATTGCAATATCTTAATCTATTTCTATTAAAACATATTTTATCCTATATGATTAAGTCCTAAGTAATTTATTTAAATATGTCTAGTGCTCAATAAAACCCCAAATACCTAGAAGGCATTATATTTCAAGGAAAAAGGTATTGGTAAAGTAGGATGTTTTTCCTTTGCAGATTTTATGAAATTATTGTATTTGTTACTATTTGTTAACTAAAAGAATTATGTCTACCTCAATTTTAAATAATATTTTATCCCTTTATGGAAACATTTTAAGTAACTGCTGCTCTTTTATGAGAAAAGACTAGTTCATGGATACAGTCTCCCTGAGACATATTTTGTTTCAGCTGTGTGTGTAAGTTTAATCATATATCATTCCCCGCCCCCTCCCCAAGGAAAGGAAACTACCAAACTGGGGGCTGGGGATTTAGCTGAGAGGCACAGCGCCTGCCTGGCAAGGGCAAGGTCTTGAATTCACTTCCCAGTACTGGAATAAAAACAAAAACAAAAACAAAAAGAAACATATATCATTGCCCATGTTTCTCATTACACTATCAAAACATAACAAGGGGGCTGGGGATTTAGCTCAGCGGCAAAGCGCCTGCCTGGCAAGCGCAAGGTCGTGAGTTCGGTTCCCGGTACCGGAGAAAAACCAAAAAAAAAAAAAAAAAAAAAAAAAAAAACCAAAAAAAACCGTAGCAACTATATTCGTTAAATAAAATATATGAAATATGTGTATCACGAGTTATCTTTCTACATAGAAAAAATATATCAGAATGGACTTCTTATTCTGAGATGTTATTGTGTAATAGCTTATATCAAAGTAAGGAGAAAATTGTCCTCATCTTTTATAAGAAAGTAGCTACTAAGTAAAGTCTGATTGGGCTGTCAGATCATGTGCTGCTGTCCAAGTTCAAAAGAGGTGAGTCATGGGGCTGATGTTATTGGCACTGTCCCTGAACCCTTTTAACAGGTCAATTTCCTACTAAACGAAATGTAGAAGTTCTTCAACAAATAAGGGTGATATTCCACATGCAAGGATATGAGAGTGAAAAGTTTGGACAACTAAATGCTAGTGGCAATGTTTAGTTAAGTAACCCTCACTGTTTTGGTTTTAGCCAATAGCACAGCTCATCGAGAACCATCATTAGTGCCTGAAAGAGCCAATCATCATGAAGCAAAGAGCTATGTTACAAATCAGAAGAAGAAAGATTTCACTCAGACAAAGCACCACTGCCTCATATGAACACTCTCTCTATATGAATACTATATTTATATATATTCATATTGAGACTTTTGTCTTTCATAATAGAACAGAACTCATACAAATGCCTAACACTGGTGCCAGACAGAGGTGCAGAAGAAACATTACCCTAAGCATAATCGGACTAGAACTAATTGTTCCAAAGAAACCAAGATTAAGAACTTCATGATTACATGAATATAAATGAGTGTATAGGTACATATTTTAGCAGTTCAGCTTTAACTGTGGAAAGAATAATTTAAAGAGGATACTAAAAGAGGTACATTCCCTGTGCTACTAAAACTGCTGTCAGAGTCACCAAGCAACACTGCGCTTCGTATTTCCTAAAGGACAGAGCATATACTTGATAAAGGACCTTTGATTCACAAAGCGTTGGCAGAGTTAATATTCCGGCTGCAGCGGGACAGAGTCTGCAAATAGTCTATCATGGTGAATAAGTAGATGTAGCCACCCACTCAGTAATTCATTTGCCCCACTTAATTCAATGATTTTTTTCTCTCTCTCTAGTAGATAGCACAGAGCATACATTTCAGGCAAAAATACTTTCTTCTAATATGAAAAGCATAACATATATAAAGTGGGTAGTGCACATTAGATGAAACATTTCTAGGGATTTTATTTTTAAGGCTTCTTTCTTTTGCTTTATATGATCTCACATCTCCTAGTCACAAACATTGGCATGACTAGAAAATGGTCCTTTTTTATTGTTAAAATCATTGAGGCTCTACCATATGCTTTCTAGTGGATGACCAGGAAAATAGTAAAACTAATCATTTAAATTAGTTTCAGGGATACTGTTCTTGGCATAGAAAAGACTTCATGAATCTTCCGCAGCTATTTCAACTCACAATGTGGAAGCTTCTGTAGATTTAACACTCAACCTATCCTATATTTGCTTGACCTTGAACGCTTATTAACATTTTATGGTTCTACAACAGTACTTACTCCATAATGACCGTACTCTTTTATTATCTATTAAGATAATAGATTGTACAACTATTTTATAGGATAATATATTAAAATCCTCTGAATTTTTAAAAAGCCTTTGAGGAAAGTATGAATAGCTCTAACAAGGTAAAAGAAATGACCTAGTTCTGTTTGCTTAAACTCTTCCTTGTTTCCTCTAAAAGGTGCCTCACTTAGTAAAATCCACTGCCATAAAGAATGACTCTTTTCACCAGACTCAGATGGCTATGCTGGTGTACAGAGTAACGTCAGGCATGAGTTTCCTTTTTAGGCAAAGAAAACACTTTCCTTTATCATTAGCCTAATAATTAATATATTAATGCTACATATTAAAAATTATTTCATTTTAAATGTAGAATTTTTTTGGTAACAAATATCAAAATCTCCCTCTTAACTACTCTTTGGAAACTTACTATATACCATCATTAATATTGAATTGCCGTAATTTCTATGAAAGAGTATCAATCTTAGAAATCAGATATGGTATTTTTACTGATTGCATGCTTTAGTTTCCAGGGAGTGAAATGAAACAAGTTCACAACTATCTCTGGATAAAACGG